TCGCCATTTCATGTAGCTGTCAGAAATTTCGGGGCTATATCTGATAAGTGATACATTCTGATTTCTCAAGTGCTATTATATCCTCTCTCACCGAGGCTTGTTCCTATATGTATTGACTTGTGTACTTATTATTTCATGTGCTTTCGTTATTGACAACTGTCCTGTTGCTATTTACCTTGGCTTCAGTAATACATGTAGCTTTTTTCTTTAGTATCTTAAGTTGTTCTATAATTGGAACTATGTTCTGTTGGACAATAAATTATTTACTTGTTTGTTAATTTAATTGGCCATCTTCTGGTGGAATAAGTTAATCAATGTCTGAAGATAGATAGCACTAGTGTATTCTGGACGCCGGAATACAGTATATGATTGCGGCTCTTGTGGTATTACATATGAAAACAAGCGTATTATGAAACGTTATCAAAATGCGCGTTTAATGATTCTAACCGTTTCCGTAGATAGTTTTATCGCGTGCAACAGTTAGGAGTAACTCGAAGGCGTTTTTGTTGGAGTAATGTTAATATGTCGTTACAATGTACACAGCTTGAACTGATATCTCTAATCTCTCGACAGGTAAATATTAGTCGTACCTTGTTATTGTGTACGGTGAAAAATGCTACATTCTTGCCATGAACAAACTAAACTGCTCCAAAAGCTTGAGTGCGTTTTAAACAAAAAAGGAATTTTTTTTGTGTGCGTAAAAGTAATATATCAATGTTATATGACACCTCCAAACTGACCTACATTTTTTTATCGTATCAAAAGGAATTGGATCTCTCATTTTAAAAACTTCATAGTACACACAACTTGAATTGTTTATGGAATGATAAAAACTATGTTATCAGGGATAAAAGATTGCAAAGAAATTTTTTCTATTACGCGGTGTTATTTGATTGTATTGATCGTGGTTTATGCCCAAAATACGCAAAAAAGGATATTGGAAAAAAGGTGACTTAATTTGTTTTTAAAATGACTTTGAGGTCGCACGTCCCTTTTCTTTACTTTTTTTCCACTACCCATTTGCATCAGTATTTTAAATCTTTTCCATCTGATAACTCCATGATATGTATCGATATGACTAAAAAACATAGTTTTTAATTTTGTTTTGTCATAAAATGCATTTTTTGTGCATTTTATTGTGGATTTTTTCTTCGATCGTAACTTGTTAACAAATATTAGTACAGCTTTGAAATTGTATATTCCTTTTTTTTTGATGAATGAGACAAGTAACAACTTTTATTCTTATCACTTTTTCTCTTCGAAAAATCTTTACTTTTCTTGAAGACTCAACTTGCTGCTAGACGAGGCTTCAAGAAAATCAAGATTTTTCGGAAAGGAAAAGTGATAACAAAAGTAAGCATTTGTTTTATTCTTCCTTAAAAGCGGAATATTCACACACAATTTCAGAGCTGTACTTATATTTGCTAACAAGTTCCGATTGAAGAAAAAATTCTCAGTAAAATGCACAAAAAATGCTTTTTTTGACAAAGAAATGAAAACATTGTTTTTCCGTCATCTCTATGCACACCATGAAATTATCAGATGAAAAGGATTTAGAATACGGGAAAAGGGACGTGCCACCTTGAAATGCAACCAAAGTATGTAAAGAAATAAGCATCGTGGCACAAATTGCTGCTTCATGTCACGCAATTGGTCTAGCTGATTAAAAACGCATATGCGGGTTTGGGTCATTATAAACCATTAAAGAAGGAAGCTCAGTTACAAGTGAACGCACCACTAGAACCCGTTCTGGAATAGAATGCTCGAAGGTGTTGCTCTTGCGTGTTTCTAAATTAAATTCTTACACGCAAATTCACTAATTAAACAACTGTAATTAAATATAACAAATACTACTGTTGCTCACGAGAAGATGCCATTATGAAGTCGAGTAGACGGACTCTCAGACTCGAATTGTATTGGGGTAACAACGTTTCCGTCTCTTATTCCCGATTTTAATAATCAGGACACAAAATTGTGTGTAAGGCACAAACTTGACCAATGAGAATGCAGTTATGAGGTCATGGATCTAATGAATATAGTCGATTTTTTGGTCCCTAATCTCAAAAAATGCTTCTAAAATATCCTCTAAATCACAAAGTTTGCGGCTATGAGCACAAAATCCACCAATCGAAGGATTTGCACCATACTCGAAGCATGGACCAAATCTGGTAACAATTTCTAGACTGATATGACAGTAGTTACTGATCATTTTATTCTAAATAACAGTGTCACTACTTATCTGAGAAATAATTCTGAAAAAATGACGTATTCTTAACAATTCATCAATATTTCCAATGAGACAAATATGTTTTTGTAGCTAAACGAGGTGATTTATGAGGTCTTTCTTGATTTAATATGAAAATTATCCCATCTTATAATGTTTCTTTAGTTTGAGAGACATTTCACAAGAAGTCGATCATATTCATTAGATTCTTTACTTCAAAAACGCCGTGTCGAATTTGTGCCATAGACGCAAATTTTTATTCCGACGCGTCAATAGTAAAATCGGACCTTAGGAAAGTAGAAGCGCAATTAAGAACAGAAGCTTTTTCTATCCTCTATTATGTCAAATTATCTAACAACGGTATCTAAGTAATCGAGTAAAGCTATGGATTAAAATGAAACGTAGAGGTTTCAAAGAGCAAAGTTTTGCCGTTCTCTCTAAATTGAACAGCTGCTGCTTGAGATTTCACTTTGAGTTATAACTAATTGCGGGCTTTGGCTAAGAATAGAAGCCGCTTGCATAGGGCGGCCGACAGACAAGCGTACAGACAGTCATAGGCAGCGACAAGCGGAACAAATGCTAGCTGCATATTGCGCTGTGTTATGCCATGAGTACGCAACGCGTGTGATTTACACGATTTGTGTAAATTGCCAAGGGAATCTGCCAGCCTGTCAGCATGCTATGATTTGTCAAGCAGCATTATTTGTTGGCTGAGAAACGCACCAGGTGTTCAGAAGTCGAGAAATAGCAAAACTCGTCCGAGTTAGCTCACTGTGCACGGATTTCCACGGGTATTTACGCCTTAGGCCTTCGTGGTGGTTCAAGTATATAAAAAGTTGGTTGACGCTCTTAGATGAGATTTCAAAGAATCTTGCGTAGTTCATGGGCATGAACAATTTCGAAAAACCATAATTTACCTATTCTACCTAAAGATAGCTAACCTCTATTCCTGCATCTACAAAATTATCCTAAATTAAATGAAATACCGTAACGTCATGAGAATGTCTCATAGATGACGCTGTAGCCACCTATATGTTTGTATATGTTTATATAGACAGCGTCATCTATAAAACACCCTTTCAAAGCACATATGATAAATAGAGAAACATCTTGTGTCAAATTATCATAAATGACGCTACGATATCTCATTTCATCTCGGATAATTTTTTAGACGCCGGAATATAGTGATAGGTTGGATATCGTCAGATAGAATACTTGAATTCATGCGTGAAATGTAGTGGTGTAGTGATTCCTTTCTCTGTTTTTTCATGCTTGATGTGCTGCTAAAGTCGGTTAAATTAAGACAGAAATGTGGACTTCAATGCTTAACCATACTCCGTTTTCAAATTTAACAAATTAAATCCCTTCCGGAAGTATCCGGAAAAATGAATGCCTTGTAGTCGTATAAATATTTTTTGTTTTATTATTTTTATATGTAGCTTTCATTATGACGGTGTCAATTATTGCTATATAATAATTGTTTTAAGGTACCATCTGAGTGCAATATGCAAGCGATAATATCAGAAAGAAAATATTAATAAATTACAAAACAAGTTCATTGATGTTCTCAAACAAATAAACCGGTATCAGAAAATACAATTATAAATTTATTATGGAACAAATTTGTTCAGTAAGCTTGAATGTCATATAAAATTGTTGTGTAACTTTTATAAAACAGTATTAAAACTTGTCGTAAAACACAGATGTATAATGACAATTTTATTAAAAAACAAAATTGCGTTCTAAGAGCAGTAATGAAGCAACTATAAAGTAAAATAGCAAGAGCAGTTGAACATTATCAAATATCTTGGCTAGCTGGGTACTACATATTAATTCTATTGCTGTTATTTTTATAATATATATATATATATATATAATAAACCAAAACGTTTATATTATTATAGAACTAACCAAGGATTGCAAAACAGGATCCTACTAATAAATAATCACTGTTCTACGGGGCATCTAGAAAGGGATCTCACACGATCTTCTGTTGAGCGAATCTAGACTGTAAATTCTCAGGCCCTCAGGCCATGGCTCGCACCTTGGTTAAAATTAATCCGTGAAATTTTATATAACAAAATTACAGGTTTATAAAACCTAAACTTTGAAATTACTCCAGGCATACATTCAAAATTGCTACTTTTAATCCTCAATGTCAGGACCACCGTTTCGGACATTTTTTGCTTTTTTTACTTCCCACGCCACTGGCAAACCAAAAGTTCACCAGTTTTGGCCTACCAGACAAGGTTGAATATCGCTTTAAATCTTTAATCTCAAAATACCCATGGATCTTGTAACGCAAGGTTTAAGTTTTAATTTAGATACTTTCCGACTTCAAAAATAAAAAAATTTTACGGAGCTTTCAAGCATACATACTCATTTTTAGGGCTTTTCATATATTAAATCGCTTATAACTTGGAAATGGTCATCTTAGAGGAAAGCTAATGAAAGCCTGTTTTGGTAGGAATTATTTTATAGTAAATCAACGATGCTCAGGTTCCCTGAACCTCATTCTACTCTACGGTCTTATGTCAAGGTGCAAAGGAATTTTCAAAGCATCGAATAACAGAGATACCAGAGAGTGAATACTGACTTGGATACTAAATCGTGCTGAATACGAGGGTCACGATGTATATTTTGAGATGCGCATTAACTATACTAGTCAAAACCGACAACAGTGCACTATTAAAAAGAGCAGTCCTTTATTGGTAAGTTGCCGCATTCGGTGCATTTACAAGCATCTTACAGTGCACGTGGTGTAAACAAATTTAAGACGAAACATGGAGTTGTCTAGAGAGAGTTATCGCGCTATGATTTACTATGACTTTAAAGTCAGTTTAACTGAACATCAATCAATCGAACGGTTACAACAGGCATTTGGTAATGAAGCTCCGTCCCGGACAGGTGTCTTTCGCTGGTATGCCGAATTTAAAAGAGGGCATGTTTCATTGACTGATGAGGAACGTAGTGGTAGGCTATCTTCTAGTGTGACTCCAGAAAACATTGCTAAAGTTCGGCGGCTAATTGAAGAAGCTTCTAGCTGCGCATACGCGACTCGAGAGGCAACTCCTGGTGCAATATTGCACACCATTTCGCATTATCATCTTCATTCAAAAAAGTTGTTGCAAAGGTGTAATCCTGTATCATTACAATGCCTCTAGCCACACTGCCCAACTAACTGTAGACCTTTTACGAGAGCGCCACATAAAAATGCTAGAACATCCGCCGTATTCGCCAGATTAGGAAATGTGTGACTACTGGCTCTTCAACAAGTTGAACAAAAATCGGCGTGGTCAAAAATTCTCGTCCGAAGAGGAAATCTATCAAGCAATTAAACAGTTTGTTGAAGGCATTCCAAAAACTGGCTGGTTAGAAGTATTTAATTTGTGGTAGGTCAGGCTGCAGAAGTTCATTGATGCTAAACTAGTTTTCTAAAAATAGTTTTTAGTTTTCGTGTATCTCAAAATATATAGCGTGGCCTCGTATCAGGGTGAATTGCTTTGGAAGTACTCGCACAGACTTAGTCTACCTGGTGCCATTTTTTTACTTCCTGCGCCACTGAGATATTTTGTTTTTTGGAGATTATATGAAATGTACATCACGAAGAACCGTGTCACTCATTTCTTTCGGTCTGGCTGTCTGTCTGCTAATCCTTGGCCCGTCTATAATAATTCTCACGTACCATTACTACTATGACAAGGACGGAAAAGCTTTGTAGTTTTTGAATAACGGTCTGGTGGCGGTGGAATAGAGAGCGAAAAAAGAAAAAATTAAAATAGCTCAAACCTTTGTTATGTTTCAGAGGCTCCTAATTATTTGCGAAAAAAAATGTGTAGATGTTGAAAATTGGGAATTGAAGGTTGTAAATGTTATGTCTTGAGTATCAGTCTACGATGTTCTATCATTAACAAGCTTCTGATTCCGGTAACAACGGGAAAATTAAATTATAAATGTGGTGTATAATTAGCTCATAATTCGAAATCGTTGGGGGTTGCGTGCATGGCGCGTTGCTGCGACGCTGCATTTTTGTGGAGGCCACTAACGACTGTAGCAAGCGCAATGGGTAACTAACTTCACCTGGTGTTCTATCATGTGAACTGCGGCAGTGTATTTATATATTCTAGTAGGATTTAGGTATTAGCAGTACGTACCACTTTAGCGTTCTGCGATGTTTTTGTATATGATGACTTAATTGTTTTTATATCTATACATATCTTTTTCTGAATTTTATGATCTTTAAATGTACCCACTCATTTTGCCTAACCTTTAATTTGTTTTACTCAGTGTACGATGGTTCTCTGAATATTTCGTCAAGTAGATTGAGTTCTTATCAGGTATTGATAGAGAACATGCACAGACTAACAAACCGACATAAATGAGAAACACAAACTTGGATGATGAATATATATTTAAGCAACAGAAGACTTGTAAACTGAAGTGCGAATATTATCGCGAGTTCAATACTTCCATCGTTTAGGTACTCGTAGATTTTGAAAATTGAACCCGTGGCCGCGGACATGAAAATAAAAATTGCTGGAACGTAGTGTTCAGGCATTGTTTGGAAGAGTTGAATATTGTAGGTGAAGGCTGTGTGCGGTAAATAGTTGTAAATTGTTGCTTATTTGGTGTCAGTGAAATAGCTATTATTAAGAAGCTGCTGATCTCAGTGATATGTTATACATAAGTTATACATATTTTCTCTACATTTGCCATGGTAACAGAAATATGATAGATTTACTTTATATATGCAAAGGTCGAAGATTCCTAGTAGCTAAGTGAATCTATCAAATCAGCATTCGATTCCGCCTTTTGAAATGACTTTTCTTTTGAAGCCTACAACGGCGTTGGAAGTATAGAGTCAATCTACGTGACGCCATTTTTTTATTCTAATATCTTAGGCAAACTGAGGAACTAAAGATAATAGGTCCATTGGATTTCAATTACTGCAAACTATAAGAGATAATACTGTCTCATAACTGAACATTGTAACTTGTTGATCTATCTAAATATATCGTTTACATTTACACACTTCGACACCAATCTTTCCAATATTCTTGCGGTACGAATAGATTGGGATATCCCAAAACGTCTGTTCGCTCCTAATACTTAAAAGCATTTGGCCTGATTGTTTACGTATTCATAACCGTCTTGCATCCAAAGCGATAGAGGAGGGTCTCCATCTCTTCTTTGTTATGCTGATACATTAGGATCCAGCCTAAAAGCACAGCACTCATCAGCAGACCCTTATTGAATTTCCGAAACAATACCTACACACCACAGAGCGACGTTAGGGAAATGTTGTATCGTGTGTGTGGAATATACATCAGTGTCCGCCTTCTCTGAACGTTCTTTGCACTTTGCTTGGTGTGTCATGGACCACACAGCGCGCTTGTGTGATCTTCACTGGTTGGTGTTGGGCAGGGTTTGCCTGCATTGGTGGAGGGCGGGTGCTCTGTATTTGCAAAAAAAAAATATATTATTCAACAGTTTTGTTTACAGCAAATAAAAACACATTTTCAAAATTACAAATTTACAAAATAAATCTATGAGAATAATTTTAAATAAAAACGAATATGCTATTAAGTCGATGTTAGAAGAACTATAGTGGTTGAATGTAAAAAAATATATGTTATTTAGTCCTCATTTTCATATTCAAATTAAGAAATCATTCAAATAGTAAATAACTAGTAAATCTGCATTTCAATTTGAATCCAATAAATCGAATAATAGTATTAAACAGTGTTCGGAGGTGAAATTAAAAAATCACTTTAAGAATGTAAAATGACAGAAAATTGATTCAAAAAACCTGTAAAGGAATAATTATACAAAATTGACATTGTAACATTAATGCTAAATAAATCTTCAACAAACAAATCAGATTAAGATTTGACGTGCTCTCAATTCTATGGTTGTCCACGCGTTCGCTTCCACCAGAAGTAGCGACAGATACAGCGGTACACCGTCGGACTGTGTCTTCAGCGCTCTTAGGTGCGTTGACCTGTGCATTTTTGAACGTACCAGTTCTTAATTACAATATGAATCAAACAGCTTCTGTATGTGGATGACTGTTTTGAGTCCGAACAAGGTCCTTAAAAATTCTTCAGCAAAGAAGCTAGGAGGTCCTCTATTCCTATAGTTCAGAAGCTAATTAATTACTCGGATTTTAGTACAATTTTGCAGAAAGGTACTGTTGTGTCAATGATAGAATTCCTTTAATACCTTCACAAATGAAGGCATAGGAACAAGTAAAAGATAGCGTCAAGTAGATTGACTTTTCACTTCCAACGCAAAGCCCTTATCAGTCCATAGAGGAATATGTTCAATAACAGAACAGTCACAACGGTCGGGGCACAACGCCAGCAGCAGCCGCGGCAGATAGGGTACGCGAAAAATTTCAAAAATAAAATCTTATGTTTTTTGTATATGACATGTACATCACGAAAAACCATGACACTTATTGCCTGTCTGTGTCTGTCTGTCGGCTTGCCCGCTAATCTTATATCCCCCTATAACTAGGGAAGTACCGCTCTAATTTCGATGAAATGTTTACACATTGTTACTACTTTTTCAAGGGCGAAAAAGATTTGTAGTTTTTAGAAATCAGTCCAGAAGCGGTGAAATATAGGTTAAAAAATGAACAAAAACCGCTCATATTTGTTGTTTTTGCATTTCAGAAAATGTTGTAGATATATCTCAATTTATTGGCGATTATATATACTAAGTGACATATAAATCCGAACACCCAGTCTAAATGGTTTTATTTTAATAAAATTATGTATATATATGCCATATAACTCATTACTACCTTAACCTAAAACCAAACCTAAAGGACCTAATTAGCCAAATAATCCAGCAGTTCGGAAAAATACAAGAAGCATACATATTCTAAGTGACATATAAATCCGAACACCCAGTTTAAATGGTTTTATTTTAATAAAATTTTGTATAATTACTTAATGAAGCATAATAAGTAAATGATAAAAATTTCAAAATGATTGCACTGCTTTAAAGCCCTGTGACCTTTAATAATGTGTGGATGCACCCTGATGTGCTACGCATTCTCCAACGCGCCTAGGCATGCTTCTGATCAGGTGGTCAATGTCCTCCTGTGGTATCTCATTCCAGGCAACCACCAACTCCTCTCGAAGTGCTTCTAGAGTCTGAGGAGGACGTCGCAAATTGAGCAATCTCCTACCCATCATATCCCACACGTGCTCAATTGGGGATAAGTCAGGAGATCTTGGTGGCCATGGTAACAATGTGACATCATTATGTTGAAAGAAGTCTATTGTGACTCTTGCAACATGTGGTCGGGCATTATCTTGTTGGAAAGTTGGATCTGCCAGGGTGTCAAGATAGGGTAAAAGATGGGGTTCTAGAACTTCGTGGGTATAACGCTGCGCGTTCATGTTACCTCTGATGAAGATTAAAGGTGACCTGGAACCATAAGCTATAGCACCCCAAACCATAACTCCAACAGTGTGATGAACATGTCTTTCAACAAAAAACTGTGGATTCCTCCTTTCACCACGTCGCCTTCTAACCCTGGCACGACCATCGTGCATGCCTAAACAAAATCGAGACTACTGACAATACTGTTCCATTCCTGATCCCAGAGTGACCGTTGTCTGCACCACTCAAGGCGATTACGTCGGTGTTCTCGAGTTAAAGGGAGGACCCAGTGTGGCCGGTATGAAAACAAGCCAAAACTTCTCATTCGTCGGTAAACACTTCGCATGCCAATAGGTCTTCCGTGTTCTGCAAACCATTCATTTGCAATGGACCTGGTAGTGGAGAAACGGTCCCTTAAGGCC